AATACTGTGAGGGTGTCGTGCACTTGGTGCCCTCTTAGGGCCCCCCCCCGCCCCCACCTTACTTCCCGGTTACGGGCCTGACGAAGACCTCATCTAAAACATGTATTCTGCACCGAGTAAAAAGTAGCGAACGATATAGTATATCGTATATTTCGGGGCCCTACAAAGCGTTTTAGTAAGAGGCTTCGTTTTGTAGTATAACCCTACTTTTCCTACAAGACGAAGACCCTTCCTGTTATGAGTAAGCTACGTCAGTTTACATGGGTCTTCTTTTTTTCTTTTTTTGGGTCTTCTTTCTCGGGTCTTCGTTTTTGTCTTTTTTGGGTCTTCGCTTTTTTTAGATACACTGTACCCCCGGCCTTTTACCTGGGTGACGATTAGCACGCTCCTCGTTCTCCATGTTCTACAATCCCTGGGCGAGAAAGGACTACTCTTGCCCTCGCCCGGCTTCCAAGACTCGATATGCCAGTTTCGAATTGTTTCGAATTATTGAATCATGCTTAGCTCCGAGGATGGAGGGGAATTGAACAAAAGATTTTAAGTGAAACTCAACGGTAAGAGACTGGGTACAAGGCAGTACGATACACTTTATGATTCATTACATGAAATGTCTTACAATGAAGAGATTTTGTATAATTATGGCGGATACAGCTGACAAAAACGAAGCATGCATTTCTTGCTGCAAATGTTCCCTGGAATACCTCAGTGCTGCTTGTAACAGGACGCCGTTGTGTGTGGATTGGGGAAGGAACGGATGGGTGGCTTACGGTGCTTGTCATTCCATTGCTTTGTGGCTTCCAAAGGTTCGTTCTTTAAACACTGTACTAATGTTTTTATGTTGTCTCCTTGTTCCACGTGCATTGATGGAGATGAACTCATTGCGTTAGTTTCTGCTCTAACCGTTACCTTAATAATATCCTTTAAAAATCAATTTCTCTTAGTTATCCTGTATTCAGATTTTACATATTGAGAGGGGTAGAACATTTATTTCGTCTTCGCAAATAATAAATTCACAGCTGTTATTATTAAAATGATAAACAGGGCCCAGTTGTTCGAAGGCCGATTAGCACTTAACCCGAGGTTAAATGCAACCCGGGTTTCTTTTTCTTGTATTCAAAAGCATTTTCTCGGATAATTTTCTCTGTTATTTTTAGAGCTTCCAATTATCAACTTGTAGACAAAAAGAATTAAAACTGAAATGCTTTTTAAGCTTTCAAATCTGAATTCAAATCTCGCACTAACCCTGGGTTATCTTAACCCAGCTTTGAACAACTTTGCCCTGTGCAGTGTACATGTGGCAAATCGTCCAAAAGTCATCTCGCCCAAAGTTATATCGTGCATAATTAAGTGAGCTATTAACCTACACAGTGATGCAGTCACTGTTTTTCCAGGCTTATTCCATTTTCAAGGTCAAAGGACGGCATAGGTTCACGGCTATTTGTCTCTGGTGTCTGTGTGCAAATTAACTGTTTGGGTGAGATGTCTTGTGGGCGACTTACTTGCTAGACAGATTGCCATCTGCAGATCAGCCTGCCAAGATTGCAATCTGCAGATAAGTCTTTAGTTGGTTGTAAATCACTGTTTTCATGGATAACAGTCAACTTTGTTCTTTCACTTTCTTTAGAGAGCCTTTCTACATGGGAGTGTAAAGTATATTCTAAATGGACATAAGGATAGGGTTAACTGTGTCAAGTGGATTCCTCATCCAGCGTTAGGTAAGATGATACCTAAGACATTATACAATTGTGCATAAGCTCAAGGTGCATACAGGGGCACCCAATTAGCCTCCAGGTTGTCACTAAGATTTTAATTTGCCAGGTAAATACACCACATGGGTGGGGAATCAAACAGCTATGGGTTTCTTCTGGTTCTAATTTTTTTCTTTTTTCCTTTAAAAGCAGCCAGGGGAAATCCCTGGCTCCTGCCTCTTAATGACAGACCTGAGCCTCAAACTTGGATAACTTGAACCCATCCCCCGCCAGCCAAGGTCTGGAAATGGGGGTCCTTATATCCCCCATTCTGGCTCCTTCTTAACAAAAATCCTGCATCCAGCACTTTTTTTCATCGCTTTCCCGAATCCCCTTTTTTCTAGATAAGTTCAAAAATCCTAATTTCTGCAAAATCTAATAAATGTAAGATGTAGATTGGTCCTTTTGTCAATTGATATTTTTAGTTATACTTCAGTATGACGAAGTAGAGGGAAAAAAGGAAGAAGCAACAAGGAAGAGAGGAAGGGTTCTTCCCCCTCATTCCCTAACCTCACTCCGTAGCTATTTTTTTCCTGCTCACTTTTCTTTGCACCTCCTTGCTATGTGAATGCCTGGAGCAGGCTATTTTGGTGCTAGAAGACTCCTCTGTGACCGCAATAAAGAAGGACATCAAAACTTCTACCATCTGGTTCTTGGGAGCAGAGTTGAGATCATTCTTAAATGTAATTGATCAAATAATTTTCTTCAAGAGTTACAATAAAATATGAAAAGCTTGGGCAATTACTGGTATGCGAGAACCATCAACCCAATTCCCTGTCATATAGTTGAATGTGTTGGTTCATCTGTTGATTGCGGTGGAGACACCACTGAACATTTGCCTGGTTGATTCACATTTGCCGCTATTAAATTGTGTTACAATTATTTTCCTGAATTCCTGACAGACAGGCAAAAAAATCCCGCATCCTGTGCCTAAATTTTGGTGAATCCTGCTGCGTTGGTAGCAGTCAAAATAATGATCCCATTTCCTGTCAAGATATTTTGCCTTCTACTGAATCCCGCACAATATTTTGGTCAAATTCCAGATCCCAAAAATACCCTTCCATTTTGCAATAAACTCAATATACATGATCTTGAATTCTCACATCCCCCTTTTTGTTCTTTTCACTTTCAGATGATGAATATGAGTTAATTTCAGGTTCAACAGATAAAACAGTGATTGTTTGGCAGAGGAAAACTACTGAAGACTATCAAGTACGCGGAGTGTATCCAATACTATTATTTTTTATTTGAGATCAGTTCATTGATTTTTTTGTTAAAATGACTTTTTATTGGATAATTTACAAATGTACATGTATGTAAGAAAATGCCAATATTATCAACAAGGGGGCACTTGTACACTGTTCTCTGGACTAGGCAACAATACATCATACATATACACCAACATGATCAATGTCATCATCTGAACCTTTTACAGTCTTATGACATGTACAGAATACCACTAAAAATAGTATACACATGTACATGTATTTATGCTTTTCATAGTGGAAAATGTGTGCTATTCTGGAAGGCCATGAGGGAGCTGTTAATTCTGTGGCTGTTGTGACTATACAAGTGTCCAACAACAATGCTGATATGAAAACAGTCATCGTTTCAGCATCTGCTGACTCATCTGTTAGAATATGGGAAAGAAGAGGATCTGGAGGTATGATCACATTATGAAGGTTTGACCTACATGTAGCCTGTAAAACAGGCACCATTTTTTTGCATTCTTTCGACAGGGAAGGCCCTCTCTTTTCATGCATGGTCTCTCACTCCATGCCTACTTCTTACTTCGTTTGCTGGAAAAACTCCAAAAAAAGCCTCTGTTGTGCAGGCAGCTAGTTTATAGATCTTACTTGCTGGGAGTTGCATGCTTCTTAATCAGAATAAACATAATGTGCATTATACTCTTTCTACTGTGGTTAACTTCCATGCAATTATTTAAATGTATTTTGCAGATAAGTTTACTTGTTTACAGACACTTTCTTTTGGCAAAGGATTTATACTAGCAGTGGCAGTTTCTATTCTTCCTGGAACAGTTGGTAAGACAGTACACAATCATGTACTTGCACTCTGTAATATTATCAAACATTCTGTCAGTTATGAAATAATTTTTCTTTTCAGAATTGACAAATTTTGTCTCTGCTACAGGTTGATTCTAATTTCCATGACGTTTGTCTTCTGGCCCTAAAAGACAAAGGAATTGTAAATCAACCTACAGCTGTAGGTTATATCAAAATTGACCTGAAATAAAATTTGACCTGTAACATACACAACATGTATAACATTATGTACAACATTATATTATCGTTACTATTATTTTGTTGTTGTTTAGTTCCAGTAATTGCATGTGGGGGAGAAGACAGCAAAGTTCACCTGTTCACACAAAAATATGATAAGGTACCTGTTTTGTGAACCTTAGAGACAATGGAATTAATGTTTATTTTAACTGTAAATACCTGGTACAGGTTATGTAATTATGATGGCCCACGTTTATAATTTGTTCACAAAGACAAGCTGGTGCATGTTTACTGGCATGATCATTTATCAGTTAACTTAAAATCATACCATAAAAATTAATGATGATATTACAGCGGCAAGAAGAAGTAAAATCCTGCTTTACGCCCCTCAAACCCCGCTTAAGGGACACCCACTTAGACACCTCATTATTACAGACAGTGCACTTACAGCCTTACAATTACATTCTATATTATTGTACATGTTTAAAATGGACACCCCAGCCCACTAATATGGTCCCCTTAGTGTCCATGTTAACGGGGTTCAACTGCACATCACAGATCAAATTTAATAATTATAATTAATTATAATGATAATAATAATGATTTTTTTATTATAGTTATAATGAAAATAACAATGACAAAAATGTAGAGAATGATAATGTTAAGAATAAAAAATGTGATCACCATTACAGACTATATAAAAATGTATTATAATTTAAGAATTGTGCACTGGAGGGTCCATTTAATTATGTCTGTTTTAACTTGAGTACAATTATTAATAATTATTCTTTCCCCGTCATTTTGGCGTAGTTTGTAAAAGTTCAGAGCTTATTGGGACACGAAGATTGGATAAGAGGTGTTGAGTTTACAAAAGAAGGTTAGTGACATGGCTGCTCTGATATCAGGGTTAAAAACTAAAAATTATTTTGGAGCACTCGCCAACTAGGCGAGTGACATTCAAATTGTCCTCGCCCAGTCTCCTCTGTAAAGAAAAAAACATCGACAACAAAAAACAACAACACTCACTACATAGAAGTTCACTCACCATTGTGCCCTTAAACGGACCTTAATTCCAAACAAATAGGAAACAGCAGCGAACTTACCTCAAGCAGAAGTGTTGAAAATAGAGCGATATAGTTACATTGTATACTGTTTCTTTGTTAGATGCACTGTTTGTTGAAAACTCCCAGAAGTGTCAAATCCCCCAGCCTCCCTCCTATCCACCTGCCGTCTTAAAAATTAGCAACAGCCCTGCATTGCCTTTATTGGCTTGAATTTTAATCCAGAGTTACATCTATGTACATGTACATTTACTACAGATGGAAAGACTTCTTTTTCTCTTTTCAGATCGTGGTGACCTTCTTCTTGCAAGCTGTGCTCAGGATACATTCATACGAATCTGGAGAGTTTCTTCTGATAACAAAGTACAAGAAGCTGAACCTGAAATCTTGTGTGATAAGATGCCTGAACTAAAACTGACATCTAATATTTTCTCTGTTGCTGATAAAGGTGTGATAACTAATACAGTATTTTAATAATTTAGCACAGTATACAGTGTACATATATTCAATATGTTTATAATAATTTTTCATTATTGTCTAGTTGTCACTCAAGATAACTTATATTTACAGCAGTTTTCTTAAACTAATGAACTTTTAATTGATAGGATTAGAAAGAGAATTTTCAGTAGTGTTGGAATCAGTATTAACAGGACATGAAGGCTGGATTTATGGTGTTCATTGGCATCCTTTTGTCAGGAAAGGTAACTAAACCCTCTGATGTACTGATTATTAATAAATATTTATTAGAAATTGCCACTCAGTCAAAATTTTTTGACATTGTTTTGCCCCTTTTTTCTACAAATTATTTCTGATGGGTATCTGACATAGAACCATTCAAAATCCGAGGTGTTTTGGAATTAAATGGCATCACGCAATTATCACTTAGTATACATGACACTTTTCAAATTAAATTCCAATGTAATAGTCCCATCAAAGTTTTCAATGTTTTATTTTTAAAACACATCACATAGTATGCAATTATAATTATATAAGACAGTATTGTTGAAAATACTTATATTGATTTACAACAGTAGCAGAATCTAAATGTTTTAAGTTTCCTGGCATATTATTACTACTTCTAAGAGTGCTTTTAGCTTTTTTCCTTGGCATTTGTTTTAGTCTGTTTTGTAATCCTTTGTGTGGTACATGTACATTTATATTGAAATTTGTCGTTATTTATTATTAATCATATTTTGATGTCAGATGATGGATCCATCACACAGCCAATGTCACTGCTCACAGCATCAATGGATAAAACATTAATAGTCTGGACTCCAGAAGAGGACTCTGGTGTGTGGTTAGAAAAGGTACAATTTTTGTATAATTCTAGAGCATGATGAGGGAAGCATAACCCACTGAAAGCTGGAAAACACATACATGTACAGTTTTTAAAATAAAACCAAATTTTTGCTTATCAAAATGTAGTTAGCATTGCCACCACAACTTAGTGCCCCAATGCTTGTATGACCATGGCCATGTACATGTGTATGCGGGCTGCCCTGCAATATAAAGGTGTCCATTAGCAAAGTTTCTGCTCTTAAATACCGGATGTACATGTAGTATGATTGCTGACCAAGATAATTGGTAATAAAGAATACATATATGGCTGAATCCACAATTGGGCAAGATAAGAAAATCCCATGTTCTGATTGGCTACGTACCCAAGTGGGAAAGATGGACCATCTTGTCAGGATTTCCTGCATTGGTCCCGGAAGAAAAAGTTCACTTTTTCGCTATAAATTTATGATAAACCCTTTATTTACCAAGCTTTGATTTTTGGCTAAGATGGCTGCATGACCTTGGCTTCAATCTTTTGGTTCATAAAAATGCAAAAAAATCAGTGAATAAATCAATGAATAAATAAATAATTAAAATAATAATACTAAAATGTAACTTGGCTAGCCATCTTGACCAAAAAAAGCTTGCTCAATAAGCCCCATATGGTAACTCATCACCAGACATAAGAAAGAAAGCAGCTTTCTGAATAAAGGGGACAATGTGAAAAATCTTCCCAGCGAGGAATGTCCACTGATTTAATAAATGGATGATACTAGTAGACTGTGAAAAAATTAACAAACCTTACAATGTAGTTTCAACAATGTATAACTTTTAATTCGCTGTAGGTTCGTGTTGGTGAGGTTGGTGGTACCACTCTTGGCTTTTATGGTGGTGTGTTTAGTCCTGATGGTCACTCTATCTTGGGTCATGGCTACCAAGGAGCATTTCATTTATGGAACAATGTCACTCATGAGGTACAATAAGTGTACTTGTATGTTGATTAATCGATTAGCATGGTAATTTCAGTGTTAGTGGAGTGAACAAATATTTATCAGAAGTGACTTTGAATTTTTCAAAGTTTTGTCTTCGTTTGAATTCGGTTCTAGAATGCATCAGTGTACTTCTATAAAGTGGTGCAAGACTGGTTGTAATTTTTGAACTTGTTGCTAATTGTTAGAGTGAGAGCAGATGGGAACCTGGAGTAGCTGTCAGTGGACACTTTGGGCCAGTTCAGGTGTGGTGATGACAAACTTAGTTAAATCATATAATATTTTATTATTTTTAAATTGCGAACAAGTTTAAGCTGAACAAGTTGCTTATATTAACAACAGGGTAAGAGTAAGAGTACAAAATAATATTGGATTTTCGGTCAACTTTTTGTCCCCAGGACTCCCAATCACACCTGTATCAATTTTTTGGCATGTATAGGTGCTGAAAAAGACTAAAAGAAATTAGGGTGTGACTATGTTTTTTTTTCTCATTCATACACATAGCGTAAGAAATCTGATTGTTAATAAAAATCTGTACAATGTACCTACACCTACGTGTTCGTAATTTCCTACTCTTTGTCCAATCTAAACCACTGTAACCTTTTCACTTTTATAAATTCACAGAAAGTCCATTTTTTTTTTTTGAGAAATCCTTAGAAATAAATCATATAAAATGTAGCACCAGGCAAACAATTCTGCCAAAAGATTTCATTTGAGTAGTTAAACCAAAGGATTTTTTCCACCAGTTTAAAAGTAAGTGTGACATAATTATTTTCATCGTGCCATACTTGGTCTGG